CCTGAGACCTCCAGTGCTAACCCCACTTTGTCAAGGCTGAGGTCAGGTCAACCCAAAGAGGGGGGTCGGCCCTCCTGCCCCTGGGAGCTGATACTGGCAGGGCTGCAGGACCAGCCTGCGATTTGTTTGTGTGCCAGTGGCTACAGGCTCTGAGACATGTGCCTGGACCGCCGCAGCCTCGGACACAGCATCTGGCAAGTGGAGCAGTGCTGCACTCCCTTGTACCTGGCAGGTGTGCTGTGAGTGGCTGGCGAGTGGCCAGAGGGGAGGGGCTCTGGGGCCACCTAGCTCCCCTGCCTGCACCTGGATGAGCTAGAACGCAAAGGACTGGGGAGCTGAGTCCAAGCTGGAGTGTCGGGGAGCAGGGGGGGAGGAAGACACAGCAGGAGATGTGGGAGACTTGGGTCAGCCGCCCCAGTTGGGAGTGTACCAGGCCTGTTGGTGGGCAAGGAGCCAGGGTGGGGGTGGGAGAGTGAGGGTCTGTGTGCAGGTGTGTGTGCATGTATGTGTGGTAGGCTTGTTAGACAGGACTGTGGCTGGCCAAAATGGAGCTCTAGGTTGTATTCTGAGGACTTTGGGGAGATCAAGGTTCAGGAGTGGCATAAGGACCGCCTGAGTGGGAGTGAGAGAAACAGGCAGAGCACGCAGGAGAAATCTGGAAGCAGCTGAGGTTATAGCCCTGGGACCAGATCACATTGCCCAGGGGGAGTGTAGAGCTGGGAACCTGGCCAAGGCCTGTGCCCCGGGCACAGGAACCTGTGTCATCCGATACTTAACCACACTCAGAGCACTCAGCCCTCCCACCCCTGGAGGTGCTGTCCTTGCTTTGATAAACAAGGAAGGGGGTTCAGAGAAACAAATCTTGCTCTGGTCTGGTGGACAGGCTCTCTAACCACAGGAGGCCAGGGGGGCTTGATGACCTTGGACAAGGCTGAGTGAGCCACGCCACTGGGGTCAGGTTGCCCACCTCCCGGGCCCGTGGGCAGTGACTCAGGCCTTGGTTTGTGCTTATGCTAGGGGTGGAGTTTGGCATCTTGCCCTTCACTGCGCTGCCAGGATTCCTTTAGCAGGGAGGTGGGGGCTTGGCGGTGGACCTGGCTCCCCGGGACCTGATGGCGGCCAGGTGTAGGGTTTCGGCTTCCTGGTCCTCACATGACCCTTAGCACCAGCTGTGGAGTGCCCTGAGAGAGGCTTGATGGGCTCGGTGTGTTTGCCCACCTCCTCTGTCAGAAGTGGTGGGTCAGGGCTAGCTATCTGGGTTCCCTGCCAGAGCTCAGCAGCTGAGCCCAGGTAGGTGCTGAGCTGGCTCAGGAGCAGAGCCAAGAGCCTCCCTGCAAGCACCCTGGGGTGGCCATGTCCTCTGGCTGTGCCCAGCTCCCGAGCCTGGACCACACGTGACTCTTCGACAGTCCCACAAGCCTCATACAGTGCCTTTTGGCTCTTGGGAAGTAGGTTTTTTATTTTATTTAAAATTTTTTTTGGTCAGTGTTAAGAGACGGAGAGATCTTCTATTGCTGGTTTATTCCTCAGATGGTAGTAACAGCCAAGACTGGGCCAGTCCAAAGCTAGGAACTGGGAACTTCCTCTGTGTCTCCCACGTGGGCGCACGGGCCTGAGCATCTGGGCCATCCCCTGCTGCTGTCCCAGATGTGTTAGCAGGGAGCAGCCAGCTCTTCAACTGGTGCCCACATGGGATGCTGGTATTGCAGCAGTGGCTTTCCCTGCTTCTTTCAAGTTTCTTCCCATTGGTGCAATACCAGTGGTAAAAAGGCAGGCTGGCATGAGTGGCCCTGACGCTAAGGGAAGTCCTCCTGCCCCCAACCACTTGCCATACCTCAGCCCTGGCCTCAGACTCTGCCCTTGATTGTAGGGGGCAGCAGTCCTCTGAGAAGTGGGGGCCGTTACAGCCTTACCTGCTGCTAATTCTAGGCAGCTTGGCTTTGGGTGATGGGGGTGGGGAGGAGGGAGAGAGAGAGATCTTCCATCTGTTGGTTCATTCCCCAAATGACCACAATGGCCAGGTCAAAGCTAAGAATCAAGGAGCTTCCTTCAGGACCCCCATGCAGGTACAAGAGCCTAAGCACTGGAGCCATCCTCTGCTGCTTTCCCAGGTCATAAGCAGGGAGTAGAAACAGAAATGGAGCAGCCAGGACATGAACTCGTGCCCATATGGGATGCTGGCATCACAGGCAGAGGTTTAGTGTTCTATGCCACTGTGCTGGCCCCTAAGTGACATTTTTTGTGAATCCAATTCTGCATCTGCAAGTCATCATCTTTGGCCACTATCTCCTCATCCCAGAAGCCACCTTCTGACACAGAAGTCTCAGCTTTGCTGTGTCCCAGGCACCTGTCTTCTAGTCTGGGGTCTTGGGCTGCTCATCTTTAACGGGGAACAGCACAAGTGGCCGGGTTAACACTCTCGGTCGCCTACACATCACAGCATGCACATAGAATGACACTGTTCAGGACCGCACTGGGATCGGTGGAAGAGGCTCCGTGGGCTGTGGTGCCCCGGGCTGTCCTAGCCAGCCCAGCCTCCTCTGGGACTGCAAGGATCAGTATCTCCTCCCCATAGGAATGCCAAGGTTTGGCATCCTGATGCTGGGAGGAACCCCCTGCCCAGCCCCGTGGGGAGCTGCTTGGCCCAGTGCTCTTGGCTCTCCTCCAACCATGCTGAGTGTTGGTTCCCTTCCTTGGCACTGATGCCCCAGGAGCAATGGGCGTGGCCAAGGCACAGATTCCAACGAGGACTGGAGGTGTGAAGGAGGTCCCTGAAGTGGGCCATGGCTAAACATGGTCATACTGGGGTTTGAATCACTGCCTGCTGCTTATGGGTAGCCAGGGTGCAGGTGTGCTAGGGGCATGATTCACAAGGAGAATGACTGGGGCTGCCTTCCTTCTGCCCTCACTGTGGCAGGTGAGGTCCCAGTTTCATTTCTGGGCATTTGCCTTTGGCACAGTGAGAGCGGAGTCCTCTGCCACTCATACTAAATTGCTGGCGAGGTCGGGGACATGGGCCTTGCCACAGGCACTGACCCTTATGTGGGATGACACCAGGGCATGTCCTTAGTCACCAGGACAGAGCCCCTGAAGGGAGGGGGCTTGTGTAGAGCCAGGGCAGCATGCTCCGACCTTCTGCAGTGTCCAGGTTAGGTGTCACACTTGGCTGCCTCTCTGTGTTCCTTCTCATTACAAACAGCTTAAACCCATCATTTGAGGTCACACCTCTGTGTTTCCTCATGGAATGGCTTTGGTCTCTGTGTTGTGTCTTTATCTGGGAGTATGGGGGCAGAGGGAGTTGGATAACACAACCTGCTTTCCCTGGTCAGCAGGCTACCCCAGGCGGTAGCGGAGAGGAAGTGAGTTTCTATGTTGTGACATGTGCAGGAGGCTACCGCAGCAAGCTGCAGAGAAGGTGTGTGATTTGATCACTCGTCAGGACAGTGAAGGCTCACATGCAGGGCAGCACACGCCAAGTGTGGAGATGTGGACACAGCGCATGTCAGCTCTTTCTCAGGGACAGGGGGTGTTTGGTTCTAGAACGTCAGCATCCACCTGGTGCATGGAGCTTGTGTGCATCTGATTTTCTGTTCTCAGACATATCTGTGTCTCTGGGATTGGACAGGTCCCCGGAAGACCCCAGGAGAGGAACTCTTGGCCATTCCTACCTCCTGCTTCCTCAGTATGGTGGCACCTGAAGCCCCAGGGGAGGGGGAAGATGGGGCCCTGGTTCATGGTGAAGGGCCTGGCCCAAAAGCACCGAGGTAGCCACTGGCAGCCACGTGGGGCCGGGCAGTTTGCACCAGTGTTTCTGTGTCAGTTGCTAAGGTAGTAGCCCCAGGTACTAGAAGAGGGAAATAGGCTTGCACCTGTTTTTTGTCAAACTGAAAAAAAAAAAGATTTTTGTCTACTGCAAAAGACCTTGAAAATACAGCTGCCAGGCCTGGCGCAATGGCCTAGTGGCAACTAAAGTCCTCGCCTTGAACACGCTGGGATCCCATATGGGTGCCAGTTCTAGTCCCAGCAGCTCTACTTCCCATCCAAGTACTTGGGCTGTCTTCCTCTGCTTTCCCAGGAGCATGAGCAGGGAGCTGGACTGGAAACAGAGCAGCTTAATGCACAGCAGTACAAGGTCGGCCCTAGATAAATGCAGCCTTGACAGTGATTTAATTTCTGACTCTAAGTGTGTGATGTGGCCTTCTGTTGCAGATGAAGGCCCTGATTGTAGCTGACTGTTCAGGTACACTGTGTTGGCCCTGGAAGCCAAGGCCAGCTTGCTTGGGGCAGGGGAACTGGCACTGGTGTCAATGAGAATGGGATGTAAGTTGTATGTGATTCCTCAGGATGGCTTTAAAAAGAAACTTCTGTGTGTTTAAAAGAATTTTTTTTTAAATATGGAAGGATGCTTAGTATTTTATGAAAATAAATATGTGTCTGGTATAAATAAAATATGTCTGCTTGACGCTTTGCAAAGAAGGGGCTGCTGGGGCCTGGCAAGCAGGCACCAGTGGTGGGAGCTGGGCATCCATGGGACAGCTGTGGACTTTGTCCACTTCAGCTGGAAGCTTCTAGAGGCACCAGGGACTCCTCAGCCCAGCCACCCCCTCACCAACCACCTCATCTCCCCCAGATCTGTACATGGCTGGGGCTTTGATGTTGGTGCTGTGATACAAGAAGATGAGGAAAGTGGGACTGGGTGGAGCTGGTGACTAGGAAGCCAGGGCATCTGTCCAGATTCCCTCCTGGCCAATCAGGCTTTCAGGGGTCCCTGGCAGTATGTGGAGTGGCTGAGAGCAGTGGCTCTTGGGTTCAAATCCCAGCACGCTCTGGCTCACCATGGCTGTTAGGTTGTTCAGCTCCTGGTGGAGGGTATCTAGCAGGTACCTCCAGCAGGTATAGCTAGGGAATCTAGCAGGACTGCTCCCCACGACACCATTTCTGTTCCTTTGCCTCCAACTCCATCTCCCTTGGTTGCAGGTGGGACGTGCAGTCCGTGCAATTGTCCACGATGGCCCTGCAGTGTGGATGACCAGCCCAGTCCAGGCCCTCACCTCAATGGCCCCTTGAGGCTCTACGCCCTTAATCTCCTGAACCACAGCCCCTGGTCCCATTCAAGCCTGGCAGTCCGGTAGGAGTGAGCAGTCCAAGTCCGTGGAGCAAGCAAGCGGAAGGGGCCTCAGGAACTCTGGAAACATTCTCCAACAACTCGGCAAAATGACCAGCCTGTTCCGGCGGAGCAGCAGTGGCGGCAGCGCCGGTGGTGGTGGCAGCGGGGCTGGAGCACGTGGGGGTGGGGGAGGCCCTGCAGCCTCCGCCGCTGCCCCGCAGGAACTCAACAACAGCCGGCCGGCCCGCCAGGTGCGCCGCCTAGAGTTCAACCAGGCCATGGACGACTTCAAGACCATGTTCCCCAATATGGATTATGACATCATCGAGTGCGTGCTGCGTGCCAACAGCGGTGCAGTGGATGCCACCATCGACCAGCTGCTGCAGATGAACCTGGAGGGAGGCGGCAGCACCTGTGACGACAGCTCAGACTCGGAGGATAGCATCCCTGCGGAGGTAGGGCTCCAGGGTTATGCTCCTGCCAGGTTCCAACCCCAAGTAGCCCTCCTTCCCTTTTAGCCCATAAGTCAATGGCCTTTTATAGGCAGAAATCCACACTTCCACTTGGGGGCGTGCCAGACCCTGAGCAGGGGCCATCAGGATCAGGGTGCTTGTCAACAGTGTAAGCCCCTGGGAGAGTGCACCTTGGTCAGAGGAGACACAGCTCACAGTCCAGGGAGGACTGGAGCACAAGCCAGGCCAACGGGTCCAAGAGTCAGGATGTGGGGTGGGAGAGATAGTGGGAGCAGTGGAGTGGAAGGCTGGCGTGATGGGAGAAGCTGAGGAAAGGGCTGGCCTGAGGAGGTGGGGGCAGCAAGGGGACAGGTTCAAGGGGAGGCACTCAGCAGGGCAAAGACCCCACTAGAGAGCACAGGAGCAGGATGGGGTCCCTACAGGACAGGGGTCCCAGCTGGGGAGCCATACCCTAGGACTTGCCAACTAAATCTTGCTGATCTTAAGAAGCAGCAGGAAGGTGGGTCCAGGCAGTCCTGCTCTGGGTCCATGCAGTGATGCCGTGGGGAATGGAGACTGGCTCACTTCTGGCAGCACCCAGCCCTCCTCAGTGCCCTCTGGGGTTCAGTGCACACCTGCCTGCCTCCCCAGTCTCTGAAGAACCTGGGGTGCCTGGTGCCAGTGGGTTGGGACAAGTGCATGGCCCTGATCCATAGGGCCATTCTAAGTGATCTCTTTTTAAATGTTCTGTTGATGTATGTTCTTTATTTGAAAGGCAGACAGAGAGAAAGGCACACATACACACAGAATCAGGTCTTCTCATCCTCTGGTTCACACCCCTGAAACCTGCAGCAGCCAGGGCTGGGCCTGACTGAAGGATAGCGGCCACCTGCAGGGCCATGCCGAGGTCATCTCGGGGTCTAGGTTCCTCACAGGAGGTGAGGACAGTAGTTAAGCCACTACATGGAGTGTGCAAGGATTTGAAGAGATGAGGGGTAGAGGCAGGTACTTGGCTTTGTGGTTAAGATGCCTGCACCCTGCATCTGAGCCCTGCTCTGGATCTCAGCTTCCTGTTTGTGTGCACCCTGGGAGGCAGCAGGATTCGGCTTGAGGAATTCGCTGGGTCCCTGCCACTCATGTGGGAGACCTGAATTTGAATCTTGGTTTCTGATTGTGGCCTGGTCTGGATTAACTTGGTGGGTAGGGGCGGTGGAGCAGGGAGAAGGGAGGAGAGAGAGAGGGTTAGTTTGCAGATGAGTGTTTAGGGTGAGAGCTGCCCATGTGAGAGGTGTCTGCAGACTCGGTCCCTCCTGTGGTATGGTTTGAGCCCCCTACCTCCCCATGGCCCTATGAATCTGGTGGGAGCACTCTGCATGCCCTCCACTCCTGCTCAGACCCCTGCTCTCCCCGTGGAGCCCCTGCTCAGCACCCTGTGCACCCCACGGTTCTCTTCCCAGCCCCCGGCTTGGAGCACTGCCTGTCCTGGAGGCGGGCGGTCCTGAGCCAGCAAAAAGTGCTTCAGAAAATTTATGAGCAGCAGCTGCACTGACAATAACTGCTGACTGGAGAAAGCCCCCTCTGCGGGGCTGATGGATGGCGGGCAGGCCCGAGGGGTGTCCTGGCTGCAGAGAAATAGCTCCTGTCACATCAATGGCCTAGGCCCTGCCCTCCCTCCACCGGCCGCCCACCCCTCCAGCACTTGGCAGGCATCCATCACCCACGGCACGTTAAGCTGGGAGGCAACTGCCTTGAACACTTCAGCACCTTTAGAAACAACCTCCTACTGTTGCTGCTGGTGGGGGAGGGACTGTGGGGCAAAGGGGTCCTCTCTCTCACACTTGGAATCTGTCTTCCTCGAGCTGGCCTGGCCAGCTGTTGGTCGGGCCTCACGGCCTCCGTGTCTCCCTACTCCTCTCCCAGAGCCTCTGAGGGTCTGCTATTGCAGCCCCAAGAGCTGCCTGGCCTCCTCCTCCTAGCATGGCCAGGGGGCCTGAACTCACCGAGGCTGGGGGCGGTCTGTGCAGTGGCAGCAACGCTGCATTGGGTTGAAGTCCTGGGGAGCCTCCTTCTGGGCCTGGACAGAGCTCTCCTCATCTTAGGCAGAGCATCCTTGGTGTGAATCAGCCAAGTCCTGAGCTGGCCACCATGGCCCTAGGGCCCCAGCACAGCTCTGAGCAGAGGGATGGGGTATGGGGAGAGGCTGTGTACGGAAGTGGCTGCTACAAGCTCTTGGTGTGCCAGAGGTGGCCGAGCCGCTGTTCTGTGCAAGCACCAGACTCCGCTGTGCACAGGAGCCAAGGGCAGTGTCCTCTCTGTGATTTCCTTCCTTTTTAGCAAAGCTCTTACTTATTTGAAAGGCTGAGGGTGACACAGAGGGAGACAGACATGTTCCATCTTCTGATTCACTCCCCAAATAGCTGCAACAGCTAGGGCTGGGATAGGCCACAGCCAGCAGTCTCCAACTAGGCCTCCCACTGGGCCATCCCTCCCAGGGGGCATGTCAGCGGGAGGAGGGTGGGCAGTTGAGGAGCCATGACTTGCACCTGGGCACTCTGTGATGTGGGATGCAGGTACACCAAACAGGACATCTTACAGAGCCAAACGCCCGCCCAACTGTTTTTCCCTCTGTGGAAACTCAGGGCTAGGAGAGTAGGGCAGTGGCCTGCCAAGCAGCTGCATTCTTCTTTTCTTCAAAAGCATCTGTTTAAATACTTTCCGCCTCAGAGGAAAGAACGTCAGTGCATTCCAGGGCGGGAGGCCTCCTTGGATCGGGCTGGCTGCGTGTACAGAGTACCTCTACAGCTGTGTGTGTGTGTGTGTGTGTGTGTGTGTGTGTGTGTGTGTGTGTGTGCGCAGCCTGTGCAATGTGCACCGGCCCTCCTGCACCATATCCCTGCAAGACCCTGTTTGGTCTCAGAGCAGATGTGTGCCAATCAATGCTGCCTGGGCCAGCCTGTACTTCCACAGCCAGATGTAGAGAGAAGTGGTTTTAGAGGTGACTTTTACAAACTTCACAGGGGTGACATGGGGGTCTGATTCACAGCCTTGGCACCCCTTCTTGTGTTCTACGGGCTTGAAGGAAATGGGGACAGAGTGGCAAGGCAGGCAGCATGGGCTCCTCAGGTAGGGTCTGCCTGCAGACGGCCCTCTGGGGAAGGGTTCAGGTCAGGCCATGTAGCAGGAACCCCAGACTTGGCTTCCACCCACCCCGTTCTCTCCTGGCTCCTGGATGTGGTGAGGAGTCCAGGAGGAACTCCCTGGCACCTCTTGGTCCTGAAAATACAGCTGAGAAGTGCAGATTTTGCGCCTGCAGGGGAGGCCCTTGCTGCCAAATTGTGGTTCAAGGAGACTCCATTCCAGAGTCAGTGCGGCTTCTGCATGTTGCTGAGCTTGGGCTCGGTTTCCTCATCTGTGAAATGGAGGTAATGGTCCATGTCCTACCTGGCTAGGTTGGCTGAGGTTAAGGTGAGATCATTGATGTGGAAGTGCTTAGAGAGGCAATGAATGATGTTACCACTCCAGAGTTGGCTGGGCATGGAAGAGGGCACAGTCTCCCTGAGTATGTGGCCCTGAGTATGAAGTTCCAGGGTGACTGTGCCCCAGTACTAGCACCCAGGTCAGGAAGCAGCCTGGGGCTGCTGTCCTGCCACAGAGGGGTCAGCCATTGTCCGTGACACCAGCATCTCACATGAGAGTTGATCCAAGTCTTGGCTGCTCTGCGTCCATCCATCCAGCACCCTGCCAATGCACGTGGGAAAGCAGTGGAGGATGGTCCAAATGCTTGGGCCCCTGCACCCAGACCAGAGGAAGCTCCTGGTTCCTGGTTTCAGATCAGCCCAGCTCTAGCCATTGTAGCCATTTGGGAAGGGAACCAGTGGACAGATCTCTCTCTCTCTCTCTCTGTTTTCCCTTCTCTCTTTCTATAAATCTGCCTTTTAAGTAAAAATAAATAGATTTTTAAAAAAAGAAACAAATCATATCAGCAGACCCTAGGATCTCCAGGAGCCCCTGTTGTCCTGACCCATCCCATAGATGCTGCTAGGAACATTCTTTTGGGATCACATTCATTTCTGTCTGCTGAGTGTGCTGGGGTGGTCAGCTGGGAAGAGCCCCAGTAGCTGATGGGGGACAGCAGCATATCTGTCCCCACTTCCCTGGCACTATATCCTTCCCATGGTACACACCCTCACCCACACCTGGTTTGGTCTGCATGCTGTTTCAATTCAAGGAAGGGTGATTAATCTTTCTTTCCTTGTTGTCTCCAATTTAGATCTTGGAAAGGACGTTGGAACCCGATAGCTCGGATGAAGAGCCCCCACCTGTGTACTCCCCGCCAGCCTACCACATGCACATGTTCGACCGGCCTTACCCCATGGCTCCCCCAACCCCACCTCCCCGGTGAGAATCCCTGGGGGGTTCAGAGTGCAGCGTGACAGGGCAGGGGGCCAGGAAACTTGTGTCACAGGGCACACCCTCGGGGTTCAGCCTCTGATTTCTGTTATAATCGATGCAAGTGTCAGACTGATGACGAATGTGTGACATGTCGTCTGCGAAGACCACAGCAAGCATTACTACCGACTCACCAGGCTCTGAGTTAAGAAAGAGCTTCAGGATTCTCTTTTTTTTTTAAACATCTTTTTTTTTTTTAAATAAGATTTTAAAATTTTTATTAGAAAGGCAGATAAATAGGAGAGACAGAAAGAAAGATCTTCCCCAAGCGGCTGCAACCGCTGGTGCTATGCCAGTCCGAAGCCAGGAGCCTCTTCTGGGTGTCCCACGTAGGTGCAGGGTCCCAAGGTTTTGGTCTGTCCTCGACTGCTTTCCCAGGCCACAAGCAGGAAGCTAGATGGGAAATGGAGCTGCCCGGATTAGAACTGGCACCCATATGGATTTCTGGCATATTCAAGGCGAGGACTTTAACTGCTACGCTATCACACCTGGCCCGAACTTCAGGATTCTCAACACAGCACTCCCAATCAGAGTAGTCAATGGGGTGGTGGTGGTGGGATTTTTTTTTTTTTTCCTGATTTAAGAAGAAGAACGAGGGCATTCACATCCACTGGTTCATTCCTCAATTGCCTGCAAGGCTTAGCCTGGGCCAACACTGGGAGGTGGGAGCTCAATTCCAACTCCCGTTTGGGTGGGTGGCAGGAACGCGATCACTTGAGCCATCACCTGCTTCCTTCCAAGGTGTACATTAGCAGGGAGCTGGAGTTCACATCTAGACCCTGTGGCATGGGATGGGAGTGTTGTAACCACTAGAGCGAACACTCATTCCCCAGGACGGACGTTCTTAAGCCTTGGGAGCAGGACTCTGTCTGGGGTAGGCTGAAGGCAGGACTGCGAAGTCCCTGGAGACTTCTTTCAGGTTAGGGACTCTTAATTTGGAAGCTTAAGATGTACCTGGCTGCTGGTAGGGTCTCAAGGATCTCTGGGGTGTTTCTCTGGGCTCCCCGTTTTTGGGGTCCCTGCTAGAGCCTAGATTTTCCCTTTTGCCTTGGAGCCACTGCTTCTTAGACTCAGGCCTGGGATGGCTTAGTTGAGGGTCTGGGGGATACAACAGAGGGCTCCGGAAGATATTCCCCCTGGGGAGCTCAGAAGCCTCAGAATGAGCTGGAAATACCAGCTACCATTTCCTCCAAACCCTGCCTACCCCAGCAGCTGATGGCATCTGTACTGCCACACTGGTTGCCACACTGAATGCCCCTCACAACTTTGGGGGACCCTGCTGGGGTCATTCCTACTTCACAGATGGGCACCTGAGCCCAAGAGGCTGGACTCACATCCTGGCCATTCTGACATCAAGACTGATGGCTGTTGGCAGCTGTGTCCACTCAGCTCCCCAAGGAGGGGCAAGGCGATTCTGTGGTTGCAGCTTGAGGAGCTAGGAGCCCCTGAAAACCATGGGGTGGGGACAGAGTGAGAGTCTTCACACCAGGGCACAGATGCCAGGCTGACGTGGGGTGGGATGGCAGGGAGTTTGTTGCGGGTGGGGGTTTAAAGCATGGGCGAGACCAGCAGCCTGGGAGTAGGTTCGGAATAGTAGAGTAAATGATTTTCCTTTGATTGTATTTTATTTGATCTGAATGGCCAAGAGATTCCGAGAGATGGATTTTCTATCCACTGGTTTCTCCCCAAGATGCTTGCCACAGCTGGGGCTGGGCCAGGCCCAAGCCCACAGCCAGGAACTCAGTTCAGATCTCTCACATGGGTGGCAGGAACCAACGACTTGAACCATCACCTGTTCCTCCCTGGGTGTACACTAACAGGAAACAGAATTGAAAGTGGGACTGCGTATTTTTCAAAAGGTAAAACTGGGGCTATAGAAAGTACAAGTCTGGAATGGAAGTCCTGCCCCTCCCTCTTCCTCTGCCCTGGCTGGGTGTTCAGCCTGCTGTGAGTGGAAAGGACTAGGGGACAAGGGTTGTGTAGCCTAGTGGTGGGAGCTCCTCTTGGCAGGGCACGGAAAGAACCTCAAGCACTAGACCAAGTCCTAGGAGGCTTCAATGAGATCCTATAGACGTGTGATGAGTTACTGCTTGGGTCTGGGGTTTGGGGACTGGATCCGAGCAAGTGAAGGTCCTGCAGGGCCCCACCACTCCCTTCAACTGCCTGACTCCTGATGTGTTAGTTCTGCTGTGTGATCTTTGGCTTATTAATTGACCTCTCTGAACTCGGTCTGCCTCATCTGTGAGCTGGGAATATGTGCTGACTTCCGCCTAAATTCTGAACAATGTGTTGAGCATGGAGCACCATGCCACATGTGGACCAGCCCAGCAAGGAATGCCCTTCTGCTGCTTCCTGCCCCCTCCCTCCTGAAGCTGCCTTGGCCGGCCTCTGGGTCCAGCTCAGATGGCCTGCTGGCCAGAGTTCAGGAGAAGCCCAGTCCATGCCCTCCATGCCCCTTCGAAGCCCAGCTCTAATCCCTGGGCCACCTCGGGCCTCATTCAAGTCTCTCCACCCAATACATACATGTCCATATTTACCACATCTGTGATGTTACAGGTGCTGACCACGTGTGTGCTGCAGAAAGTACAGCAGTGCCTCGCGTCCCTGCCCCCCTGGGAGGGAGATCAGAGCTGAGGGCTGAGGGCCTAGATGCAGGCTGGGACCCTAGGGACAGATGTGTTGTGACATTGGGTAAGTCAATCTTGCGAAGATTCCCAAGAGGAGCTTCCTTTGCAGAAGGAGGTGTATGGGGCTTATCCTCCGGAGGCTCCGCCTTGAATTTGGGGCAGTCCCGTTAGCCTCGCATCCGGGAAGGATGGGTGAGGAGGCAGACAAGGAAGCTGGGAGGAAATAAATAGCACCCTGCTAGAGATGCCTGTGTCAGGCCAAGCCCCCAAGGGGTCTGAGACTGCCACTGGGCCCACCTGGGTGGCTGCCACAATCAGATCAAGTCTCACCCTAACCTGTCACCCATTAGCATTAATTCATTAACTGTGAAACGTGAGACTGTGGGGGCTATGTGTGCATGAATTCTGGGAGCCAAGTCTCCTTCAATGCAGAATAGATCTGGAGAGAGACGTCCCAGTGGGTGGGCAGAGCAAACAGCAGGTGCCAAGGCCAGGGGCAGGAAAGGGGCAGCTATGGGGAACTCCTGGGAAGGCCAGCTGGTCACAGCGAGGGTGGCTGGGGACCCTCTCAGGCACTTTCCAGGGGCTCCAGCAGAAGAGGGGTGTGCTTGGGCTGCTGTGGAAGAGCTGAGGGAACAAAGAGGCCACTTGGGCCCCTTCCTGCCACTGCCAGCCCCTGGTGTGCCTGAGGGACCGTAGATGGGGCAGAGTTGGGGAGGTTGGCATTGCATTAGCGGGACACAGAGAGGCAGGTCCAGCTCAGGAGCTGGGTGCCCCAGGCCTGGGACACGACCTCACCCCTCCTCGGCCTTAGCGTCCAGTCTGTTGGTCTGGCCAGCTCCTACCCAGCTCTGCTGGGACGTGGCTTTCTGATTTTGGAGCTCCTCCCCCAGGGCCGGCTCTTGTTGCCATCTGCCTGGAAGCAGGGGTCTCTGCAACCCAGGGGAACCCTGTGCACAGCCGCCTGCTGTTCTTCCACTGAAATGACAGCCTTGAAAGTGTTTGCTTTGCCTCTCAAAGCTCATTTCTGACATTCCTTTCCAACCGCAGTGGAGTTGCCTAGGCTGCCTGGGAAGGGAGGGCTGGGGGTGGAGGACGGTGGTGCTAGTGGAGGGGACTGCCTTGTGCAGCTGTGGGCTGACCTCATCCCTGCCAGCCCAGGCAAGAGGCCCTTGGGGGCTGGACCTACCCCTCCTCCTCCAGGACCACAGGCTCTGCAGCCAGCCTCCTCCACCTGGCGCCTGCCCCACTGCCAGAAGCAAAGTGGCTGGGAACTCCCTGTGCAATACCGTGACTCCTGCAGCAGTCTCCTGGATGACTCTGTGTGTGTGTGTGTGTTTGGGGGGTGATGTCCCTGTTTCACATGAGGACCCCACAGCAGGAATAAAAGGCTGCCAACAGTACAGAAAGCTGGCCTAGGGGCAAGCGTCCTAGCTTACCATGCCATCTCATGCTCCCACTCAGCCCTCAGCTGTCAGAAGAGTAGGGGAGCCCAGGCTGCTGGGGTGACCTTGTACCCTCTTCCCAAACTCCCCAACCCCATCTGTGGGACTGAGCCTCCCTCCTGCACCCCGCTGCCACCCCTACCTTTCTTCCCTCCCTCCCTCGCACGCCCACCTCTGGCCACCACCAGCAGCCCAAAATAGAAAAGGAAAGGAAGTTATTTCCATCGTCAGCGGCAGCCCGGAAAAGCTCCCCTCCAGTGAGGGGGCGGGCGGGATTCCTGGAGCTGGAGACCAAATCAAAGCCAGGCCTGAGGCCGGCGGGCGGACAGACAGGGGAGTGAGAATGGCCCGAAACACCCGGCTGCCTTCTCAGTGTGTCATTTTCCTGATTCAGCAGAACACGTGTCCTGCGGTTGCCACGCTGCAGGCTACTGAGGAATCCTGGGGAGCTCTGGCCGTGCTCCAGGCTGCCTCAGGCCCCATGGCTGACAGGCAGGGCAGGAGCCCCGGGGTCGAGCCAGGCCATGTGCCTTTGCACCTTCCACCTCTCCTGACCTGCTCTCCCTGGCTGAGGTCAGTTCTACTGCTCCGTTGCCTGGGCAGCCCTTGGACCAAAGAACCCTTCCCAACACACCTCTGAACAGGGATTCCCAACACGTGGGCAGGGAGGTAGCAGTTTGCAGGTGCAGGGTCCTGCCCTGCTGGCTTGTGGCCCAGGGAGAGTTTGGTTTTGCTTTACTCTTCCTAGGGGAGCAAGCCCCCACAATGTTCAGGCAGGTTCGGCTGTGGGCAGCTCTGGCATGCCTGCTCATTCATTTGAAGTACGCCTGGTACTCGGCAGCAGTGAGCTTGTGCTCTGCCAGGTGTAACGGACATGAGCCGGAAGGAATAGGATGCCTGTGTCATGCAAGGAAGCACATGACGGCTGCATCTGATTCCATAGCGTGCACATCAACACTGCCAGCAGACAGCTGGTTCTCTAGGGCTGGGGAGGCTCCAGGAAACCCCAGGCATGATCTAGCATGTCTGGGGACCTGGCATGATGTGTCCAAGACCTGTGACTGGGCCTGACCACTCCCTCCTCATTTCACCAGGACTGATGTGCTAGGCTCTGTACCCCCTTCAAACCAGAAGCGCTACCGGAACTGGAACCCACCACTGCTGGGAAACCTGCCTGATGACTTTCTCCGTATCTTGCCCCAGCAGCTGGACAGTGGTCAGGTACTGGGGCTGCCCCATCTTCCTCTCCCATCTGCTTGTCTGGTATCTCTTTGGCCAGCCACACTTATTCCTTGGTGTTTAGGCCCAGGCTGCTACCTGTGGTTTGTACCCGAAGGTCAATTCCTGCCCAGGCCCAGAAGTTTCACACTCTCCCCAGGGAAGGTGACAGTTCTGGTGGAGCCTGTGGCTGAAGCCAGGCTTCATGCTGGAGGAAGGGAGTAATCTGGACAGCTGGTGGCAGAAGGCCACAGCATTTTCTCTCCTAGATAACTGGCACAGGCCAAGGTGCCCTTGCAGGAGGTGGGCACTCGCCTGGGGAGATCACACCCTGAGGGATCCTTGTGTGGGCTGGTGAGCAGTTTGCAACCTTCTCTGCAGGGCTGTTCTGGCTGTAAGGAAGGGATGCAGTGGTTCAGGGTGGGGAGAGAAGCCTCAGCCCTTGCTGCTTCTGCAGCTAAGACACCTTGACCCTGCTACGGTGGGGCTACCAGGAGGGGTGTGCTTGGGGATCCTGGACAGGACATATATGTACCCAGGGGTGCATGGATATCCAGGTGACACCTGCCCCAAGCTCGTTCTCTCCTTAGGGTAACCTCGCCAGTCCCAAGCCTGCAAGCAGAGAGGGAGGCCCACCTCCTGTGCCCGGGCCTGACTCCCGGGACCAGGAGAGCCGCTGGAAGCAGTACCTGGAGGACGAGAGGATCGCGCTCTTCCTGCAGAATGAGGAGTTTATGAAGGAGCTACAGCGCAACCGTGACTTCCTGCTCGCCTTGGAGAGAGGTGGGCACTGCCTGGCAACGGTGCTGCACCCATCTCCCTTCTCTCGGGGCTAGCAGAGGGATGTGATGTGGGCTCTAGAGGGTACTGAGTTGGAGGTCAGGTGCCAGGCCCATGTGTCCTGGCTCGGGCATGGTCCCCACCAGGTCATCCTGGAGCAGCCCCAGAGGTCTGCCAGCAGGGACCTGGGACATCTGCAACTGCTGCTTCTGCCTCCTTGGAGGGTTATGCACACCAAGGCCCTCTCTGCCCTGCCCCCACACCTGCTCTGTGCCCGGCTTGGGCGTGAATGACAGGGGTGAGTGGATTCAGGCCTCACTTACTCATAGAGCAGACGTATGTGGAGTCCCAGGAATAGGGCGAGAGGTCTGCGGGCACCAGGTTCCTGAGGCTGCCTGTGTAGGACGTGACAGTGGGGTATGGGAGCAGAGCATGGGGCTTGTCCTTAGTGGGAGATGCTGAGCCCTGGCCACCTTGCCTCCTCAGGCTGCGGGTGTGCATGTGTATAATGTGTGTGTGTGTGTGTGTGTGGCTGATATGTGTCAGTGTAGGTAGGAGGCTAGCTGAGAGGGAGGGGGCCTATGCAGGGGTGCTGGAAGCAGAGACGTGCATCCCTTGCATGTGTTAGGTGGACACAGTTGTCTGCCAGACCTGTCTTGTGCTAGCCTTTCGCTTTGCGGGCAGCTGTCAGGATGTAGTTTCTGTATCACTGCCAGCTCTTCAAATGCCCATGGATGTGGGTTCACACAACGCATTGTGTGAGATTCCTACCTTCAACCTCTGGCATGTCAACCTCCATTGGAGCCATAGAGGCCCCTGATGGGAATGTGGTCCTTTTTCCAGATCGATTGAAATACGAGTCCCAGAGATCCAAATCCAACAGTGTGGCCTTGGGAGGTGACCTTGGCTTTCCCTCTTCTGTCCCAGGTAACCTGGCCTTCCTTCAAGAGGACCTGTGGGGCATAGGAGTGCACCCACTGCTTTGCATAATTGTAGTTTCGGGGAAGGGTGAGGACACAAATGGGGGGAGTGGTCCTGAGCTCCTAAGCAGGCTGGGGGGCATGATCTGCCCCTAACCTTCACTCCCCTCTGCTGGGAGTTAAGACTGGGAGAGGGGCTCCACTTAGTGTACCCCGGGGTTCTCACCAGTCCTGGAGCTGCAGGGGTTTCAGAGCTGACATACTTTGGCTGAACTCCCAGGCCGAGTGGGGAGCATTGGCTGCCACAGGATCCACAGCACAGCCTGGCAGGGAATGGAGGTGGGAAGCACTCAGACTTGCTCCCCGCCTTGCAAAAGCCTAGGGTCTTATTAAGAGCTGTGTTCAGAACACGGGTGGAGGTGACCAGCATAGTGGAGCCCAGGCTCGGTGCTCCTGGCAGAGGCGAGGATTAGCGTAGGAAGGGCTCATTGTTCATTCATCCATCCAGGAGCTGGGGAGCATCTGTCAGGTGCAGGCCCTGTCCCTGGGGCCCAGAGGCACTAGGTTACAAGGACTGCCTGAAGGCAGGGCAGGTCCTCTGCTCTGGAGTCCCAACTGTGGAAGAAAAATTGGTTGGACAGTGCTGCTGGGGCTGGGGGAATGGTGTGGGAGCCCCAACTTTACCCTCAACAGCCAGACTCTGTACCCCTCAGAGAAACGCTCAGCTGTTTCTGCCTGGACAAGTCCTCAGGTGGGGCACTGGATCGGGGGACAGAGGAGGGAGGCTTGGTGGGACCCAGCTCCAAGAGAGAAAATTAGGGAGCTGATATGAAGCGACAGGCTTGTGGTTTATGTCCAGCCGAGCTGCATCCGGGAGTTCCCACAGAATCCTCTTGTCTGTGATCCTGAATTAACCAGAGGCCCTGGGATGGATCCCTGCAACTCCACAGGGTCTTAGCAGGCAAGGTAACCTGGGCTTAGCCAAGCTGCAGGTACAGAGCAGGGTATCAGGGGGTACAGGCGCTGAGCCAAGCCAGGGGGACTGGGCCAGCCCCTTTCTCATTCCTGCCCCTTATTTAAGGGATTGAGTACTGTGTGTGGATGAAGTGGCAGAAGAGCTAAGCCTGGGTGGGAGGGACCCTCTGTGATTCTCTGGACAGCCAGGATGCTGGAGGTCCTCTGGCCATTGCCCAGGTGCAGAGAAGCCCTCACCTCCCTGTGGCAGCCAGTGACTTCCCCAGCGGCCACTGGGCTGCTTCTGCATGGAAGCCAGGTGTTCCTGGGAGCCCAGTGCCCTCCTCACTGTCCACTCCTGGTTAGAGAGGGGCCTGCCCTTTGTGTCCTTCCCGCATGAAGAGATGGGACAGCCACCGTGAGGGGCAGCCCGCACACCCTTCCCTTGAGATCCCAGTCCTCAGTAGGGTCTCTTTCTTCCAGGAAACAGCGACACCAACCCCACTGCGTCCGAAGATGCCTTATTCAGGGACAAGTTGAAACACATGGGAAAATGTGAGTGCAGCCAGGGCCGTGAACCCAAATGACATTTTAATCGCCAGCTGGCTCATTTTGCCTCCTGCCTCACTTCCGGCCACAGCTGGGTCTGGATACAAATTAAGTTTTAAATCCTCTCCAGCCAGCTGTCTGCAGGCAAACCCTACATTTTACATTCTCCTTCCCCCAAGGACCACATTCATGTTTCCTGTGGCCCAGGTCTGCCTAAGCCTGCTTTCCATGGGGGACCATGGTCCTCTGGCCACTAAGTCCTGCCAGCCTGGAACAGCCCCCTTCCCCTTCCCCTCCACACCACTGCACAGGACCACAGCTATCCACCCTTTCTTTTCTCAGATTAGTCTTGGAAATCCTGGGACAAACTCTGGAGGCAGCTGGGGGAGGGCTGGGAAGGTGAGGCAAGAGGATCCCCCCTGCACGTAGCAGCTGGGGAGGAGTGCCAGGATGGCATTGCCAGCTGCTGGTGGCCCTGGGGCCTGGCTCACACAGCCTCTGCTGTCCCTGCAGGCAGGCCTGGGATGGCAGCCGAGGTGGCCCCCTACTCTACTCTCTCTCTCTCTCTCTCTCACACACACACACACAGACGCCCAGGGTGCTCTGGCTGTCCAGCCAGGGGCTCACAGTTCTCTGTCCCCAGCCACCCGCAAGAAGCTGTTTGAGATTGCCCGGGCTTTCTCCGAAAAGACCAAGATGAGGAAGTCGAAGAGGAAACACTTGTTGAAGCATCATTCGTATCCTTTCCACCTGGCACTGGCCTGGAGTGGCGGAGCTTGGGGCCCAAGTGGGACACACTGCTCTCCACACTACTTGCTCTCATTGACTGGGCCTTCCCCAGCCGTGGGGCCCAGCCCTGTGGCCCCCATGCCCATTTCCTATTGCTAGTGTTCAGTACCAGCAGCCAGGTGGTCATAGGCAGTGGCTGCTGCTGCCTTGTTTGGTTCTTCATCAAGATCAGCAAACCTTTCCCCCAGTTTCTGCATCTGTACTGACTGCTTGTGCCCCATAGTCCCTTCCAGCTGCAGGAGGGGGCTGTCACACTGTCACTCAGCATCCCCTACCCCCATGGTAGGAGCCGGGCAGCAAGGACAAAGATGCTTCTCCATCCCCAGAGATGGGGGCACAGGGACCCCCAAAGGAGGGAGCTTGGGTGATGGTACTGGGGTGTTGGGGGTTGCAGGTTGGGGTGCTGGTGGAAGCCCCTGAGCTTGGAGGCACAGGACTGAGGGGACCCAGCAATGCTCCCTCCCTCCATTCCGGGGATAGTTTTCCTGAGTGGTCCGGCAGGCTGGGAGCTGCAGCGTCGACAGCCAACCTCCTGGACGACGTGGAGGGCCACGCCTGTGGTGAGGCTGGGCGGGGGAGCTTAAATGTCAGCTTGCTTGTGACTTGGAACCTTTGGAGAGGAGGTTCCAGCTGTGGCATGGGTGGGGCCCAAGCTGACAAGAAGGGAGTACCCAAGCCGTCCAGAATTGGTGGCATTCTCCATCCAGCCCCCTTGTTGCCCCCTCGCTGTTACCCAGAAAGGGCGTTCCTGTTCCACCTGTGCTTCAGTCACCCCCTTGGAGCACATGTAGGGGTGGACTGGGGGTGGGGGTGAGGGGAACTATATCTGAGAACCAGGCTGTGGACAGCTTTATGCCCTGGGCTCCAAGCCCCGGGACCTTTTGGCCTCCAGCCAACCTCTTCCAAAGGCCATTAGGCCACAGAACCCTACCTCAGGGCATAGCAGGTGAACCCTCATCCAGGGCTCTGGGACAACCAGGAGGCAACCAGAAGCAAAGTCTGGAGGGGCCTGGGATGTCAGCTGGAGAGTGCAATTTCCTTGGCCCATTTTATGGATGAGAAAACTGAGTCCTAAAGAAGAAGGGAGCACTTGTCTGTGGTCTCAGCACTAGAAATGGTGTGGGGCCAGCTCCTGGGGGTCCTGCTGTCTCTCATTTGACCTGGAAACTGCCCACCTGGGGACTGGCATGAACCCCATCAAATAAAAGTGGGTGTGGAGGATGAGGCAGCTTTACTCTACTTTTTAGATGAAGATTTCCGGGGAAGGCGGCAGGAGGCACCCAAACTGGAGGGGCTCTTGCGAGAAGGACAGTAAGAGGTAAGGCCTGAGGCCGGGGCTGCCAAGGGGCTGGCCAGGAGTAGAGCCCACCCCACCCCCAACCTCCTACCTTAGTTGTGTCTTCCCGAGGTGCTAAGCTCAGGGAGCGGGGGGAGCCCAGGCCCCAGGCCTCTCCACTTTGTGTCTGTCTATAACAGGGACTTTGGGTTTTGTGTGGGAAAGACTTTTTTATTTGCATCTCTAATTTGATTATTTATTCAGTCGACACTCCTCTCTGCCAAATGCTGGGAGCCGGGAAACAATGAGCTTTTGACCTTGCCGAGCATACAGCGCTGTTGAGAAGGAGCCCAGGACAGACACAGCACTCTGAGAGCATGAGGAGGGGAAAAAAACCCCACAGAGGTGGCCCCAGCCCAGCTGTGCACACACAGAGCCGGCCTCCGCCACAGCCCGATAAGGAAAGGCCGGTCCGCCCCACGCAGCTGTGCGTCTGGCTGTGGCGCTGCTTTTTTTGCTCCGACCCTGAGCAAGCCTGACAGGCGAGGCAGGAAATGTCTGTGACCCCTCCAGCCCTGCCCTCTCCCAGGGAGCTGCTCACCTCCCCACACCCCTGCTGCCCAGGTCCCCACATGCAGCACTGACACCCTTTCTTCCTTTTTATCTCTAAGTAGAAACTTCCCAAGTTGATTTAATTTGAAAGGCAGAAAGAAAAAATTCCCATTTGCTTGTTGGCTCTCCCAGAGGTCCACAATAGCTGGAGCTAAACCAGGTCAGAGCCAGGAACTACAAACTCCATGCAGGTGTTTGGTTCCTGTGAGTGTCCTGGAGTCATTGCTTGCCTTTCTGGTGCACATTAAGGCAGCTGGACTTGGGACCGGAGCCGGGACTCCAACCCAGGCACTCTGCTGCAAGGTACAGGTTTCCCACGCATTGGAAGGCTTCCCTGAGCTGTGGTGGGACTAGATTAATGGCCCTGCTTCGAGACCTGGGATGGGGGGCCAACCTGGCAGGGGGGTGGGGAAGTACCTGGCACCTTTCATCCGGCAGCAGCAGCACAGACGGGGGGGGGGGCGCAAAGAACACGAGCAGAGCGCCCCTCTCCTCTGACTGCCTCCCAGCCCCTACCCACGACCCCCAGGGTCTCCTGGCCCACAGAGTCACAGCCCTGCTCCCCACTTCTGAGAGCCCAGGGCAAGCCGGCCAAGGTTAGCACACACATCTCCTCCCTTCTCCTTCCTGCCAAGCTCCAGAGGCCCCCTGACCTGGAAGCTGGCTTCTCATTTCCCTACAGAGAGCTTTCCACCTTTCCCTTCCCCTCCTCTGCCTCACAGGCCGTGTCCCCCACACCTGCAGAACATGGCATCCTCCCCGTCCCCTGCGGGTGGCATCCCTCCCACTGCAGATGATTCAAGGCTATCGCGTGCCAGCCGCAGGCCTCATCCTCCTGGGCCTCCTGCCAGGGCTCTCTTCCATACACCGTGCCCACGGCCTCCCCTGAGAACGCGCGCGCCCTCGGCGCCCATGGCCCCAGGAATCCTGGGGTGTCTGTCCTCCCTTCTGGGCTCTGTCACTCTGCCCTTGACCCTCTTCAGAGTCCTCCTTCTGCCCATTCCCGGTCTCACGCTGCCCCTGCCACCTCCTGCAGCTCAGCAGGGCTCCCCCAGGGCTTCCCTGCTTCATGCACTGCCCTCCCAGCCCTGGCCAGCAGCAGCTCACCGGAAGACACTCCCCTCCTGTTTCCACATCTCATTCCTCTTTGCACTTTACCCTCAGGGACCCCTGCCCAGGCTCACAGCCCTCACCTCTTGCTTGCCCCTCCTCTGTTCATCCCAGCACCAGGTCCCTGCTCTCTCTATCTATAATAATATAAATTTATTCTTACTCTATTTAGACACAAAAAGGGAAAGAAATATTGTTCCATTCACTGGTTTATTCCCCAAATGCCTTCAAGCTGGGACTGGGCCAGGAACCTGAAATTCGATCCAGGTCTCCCAACGGGTGGGTGGCAGGGACCCAGGTACTTGAGCCATCATCTGCTGCCTCCCGGGGTATGCATTAGCAAGAACGCTGGATCAGAAGTGGAGGAGCAGCGGCTTGAACCAGGCTCTCCAATACAGGTTGTGGGTGCCCCACGCAATGTCTTACCCACTGTACCTGACAACCACCCCTCTGCTGCCCTGTCTTTGGCCTGGTGTCTGAGGTACACTGGGTTCTGTTCCCAGTTTATGTTTCTATCCCTTCAGGTCTCCCTGGGCCAGCTCGTCATATCCAGGAGCACATCACAGAATGGCCTGGGCATGGTACCATCCATCCCAGCTCGCCCCCTAGTCCATCTGCTGTAGCTGGAGTCCCTAGAGTTGAGCCAGGTGGGATGCTTCTAGAAGCCTGTGTGGGAGAGATGAGCCCAGGCCGATCCAGAGAAAGGAGAGCACTTGGTAGCTTCTGCTTAACACTGCCTCCCAGGAGCCCATGGCCAGGGAGGCCCAAGCTCGCTGGGATCCTGTGAAAACAGCAGCAGCAGCGCTTCCCTGCCTTTTTCTCCCTACCAGAGGCTGGCAGCTCCTCTTCTGACCCACTGGGGACACCGGCTGAGGCCGCCGCTGCAGCAGGACACACGGTGCTCGCTGCCCGCTGCCCGAGGCCCTCTGGCTATCAGCGCAGCCACTGCCACTTCCCGCTGGACCCGGCACACTGGAGTCCCAGCCTGTGACTGGAGGAAGGACCTGGAGCCCACTTCCGTAGCCTGGCTTATCCCAGCCAGGAGTGGAAATGGAGGAACCACCCTTTTAAAAAAAGAAAAAAGAAAAAAAAGAACCAGTTCTGGAAGCAGGCCCAGGTTGCAGCTGGCAAGGTCAGGATGACCCACCAGAGGCTCTTTGACTGCCAGACCTTCCTTCCTCCCTGCCTCCCTCCCTGCCTCCCTCCCTGCCTCCCTCCTGCCTTCTCCCTGCCTCCCTCCTGTCTCCCACTTTTCCTGGGGCTCAGGATCAGCCTGATCCCCCACTCCTTACTCCCTTCCATGGCCTCCTGCTTCTTAGCTGGCAGTCTGGGCAACTGCAGGGTCACTTCCTGGAGGAGGGACAGCCTGCCGCCAGGCCATCCTCTGTCTGCCCTGCAGGGATGGACAGGGTGTCCCCTCCCATCCCCGCCCCAGAGCTGCCCAAGTCTTTGGGGAGACCTGGCCTGTTCTGCGGCCACCTAACAGTGGAGGTTCCCAGGGGCAGGCATCCCAGCTGGATGGAGTTGGGTTCTGGAGGGACCCAGCGGAAAGGTACAGGGGCTGCAGAGCCAGTAGAAGGAGCTGGTGGCCTGGGTGTCAGCACCAAGGGCAGCAGGGCCTGCCAGGGGTCCCTTGCCAAGAGCAAGGTCAACAGCAAAGGTGGGCTTCAAGGAAAAACTTGGATTCCAGGTGCACCCACATGCTGTTTGTGGGCTGGGAGGCCGCCCAGTGTCCCTGGCTCCTCCCTCGACTTGGGAACATGTCGACCTTTCTGAGAGTGAGAATGCCTGGGTGGGCATCAAATCTGAAGGCAGTGGGGGCATCCTGGTGGCCTCAGGTGGCTCTGAGGTGACCAGACACGGTGGGGGATGGGGTGGAGGACAAGCACACGGGTTCTTTCTGGGCGCTCCTTGCTCCATGGCCCCACATGGCAAACTGACCAAGTTTGGAAGCATGGCGCTGGCACTGGGCCCCTACAAGTGCCAAGTGGGCCGCCTGTCCCTGATTGTCCCCACCACCCCGAGAGGCTCCCAAGGAGCAGCTTGGGGCTCCTGGTTCTGACCCCTCCCCGTGCCAGGGCCCCACATCTCTCTGTGTGTGAGTGTGTGTGTTGCCTTGTTTTATTATTATTATTTTCCCTCTGATGTGTTTTTTTTTTTCTTGGAACTGTTTCCTAGGAATTCCTGTAATAAAGACTTGCTGTTCTCTTTGTGGCGCTGTGATGTGGCTGGCGGCATGGGTGGCACCCTATTGTCCCCCCTCCTGGCCTGGGACAGGGTTTGGCCTCTGCTGTGTCTGTGGACCTCCTCCTGGTCCGTCCTCAGTAGACAGCTGGGTATCAGCTCCACTCGGGCTCCCTCTGTGCTCCTGCCGCCCACCCCACAGCCTTGCCAATGCCCACCTGCTGGCTCCACACCGCGCCCTTGCCTTGCTGTTAACAAGCAGTTTACTTTTCCTCAGCAAATGAGCAAAGGAAACACCACCACCACCAGGTAGCAGAGCCTGTTGCCAAAGCTCCGGAGAACTCCACACAATAAGCAGAAAGCGTCTGGATTAATGGGGGGGATGTGCAATGAAGGGCTTTGAGACGAGCCCCGTGGCCCTCGGTGTCCCTGTCTCCAGCTTGGCTAGGACACTTCCTGCTGTGCAGAAAGGACACAGGCCATAGAAAGAGAAAGTGATTCCCTTCTCAGAGGGGCAGTGTGCAAGGTGACAAAGCTCTTGAGGCTGAGCCGAAGACCTTGTGGCTTCCAATCGGACATCTTGTTCCTGGGCTCCAGGTCGCCTGGCTGCAGCTGCTCCGCCCTGCGCTGGACACTCTGAGCCCAGTGGCCCCATGCCCTCTCCCTGCCCTCCTTTACAAAGAGGTTCCTGAGTTCCACAGGCCTGGCTGCACTCCCAGTCACACGCAGTGCATTCCTCCAGTGGCATGCCTGAACAGGTGGTGATGCTATACACGGGCCATTGCAGACAAACTGAGTTATCCCCCAACTGACTCTGCTGCACTCTGTGAAGCCCGTGGCTTAGAGTAGCTCCCGGAGTGTGGTGCCAGCACTGCCAGCAACCTGTGAGAAATGCCATTGTGCCACTGAACCAGAGTGTGGGGTGAGCACAGCAATCTGTGATTCTAACGCAAAGTAACTGAGGGTGCCAAGCCACCAGGCCAGGACCTAGCACTGAGTGAACAGGATTACCTGGGCACCTTTAAGAAAAAATTCCTCATGTTCAACGCCCCAGGCCAATTACATCAACAACCCAGGGGCTGTAACATTTGAAAAGTTATTTTCATTTTATTTGAAGAGATACAGAGGCAGACATAAAGAGAGAAAATCTCCCACCCACTGTTTTACTCCCTAAATATGTACAACATCTGGGCTGGGCCACGCTAAGGTGAGAGAGAAGCTCCATTCATGTGGGTGGCAGGGACTCAAGAATTTGGGCATCAGCTGCTGCCTCCTGGGGTTTGCATCAGCAGGAAGCTGGACTCCAGGGTGGAGCTGGTGCCTGAATCTGATAGAGTGTGGAGCAGCACCCTGACTCCTTCCCCAGACGTTCATCCCTGTGTGGAATCCAGTTGCCGTCCAGCAGCAAGGACCAGCACAGTATGCAGTCTGTTTCTGATTCACCCTGTCCATCTTGCCCAGCCATCCATGATCACTTTCTATAGATGATGAAATGGTAATCCAGAAAGGCCAAGTAGCTTCCCCAGGACCGCAGAACTAGGGGCGCCTCCAGCCCAGCGGGCCCAGGGCATGCCCCAGGCCCTGGCAGCGCTGCCGTCACTGGAGAGCTGGTGAAATGCATGCTATCAGACCCTTCCACATCCGTGCAGCCTGAAACCGGGGTGTGTGCTCCACCCCTGCAGAGGCTGCCGATGCCTGCCCAGGCTTGAGACCCGCAGCTCGACAGCACTGCTGTCGGACATCGGGACGACGAGGGACTTGGTTAGATGTGCGGGATGTCAGGCTGTGCACACACCTACTGAGTCAGCATGCATTCTCCCTCTGCAGGTGCCTTGCACGCACATGGAAGTTTGAGACGCACTTCTCAGCCATGCTGGCATTCACACTTACTGTGCATGGCAATCTCCAGTGTGTGTGCCCTGGCCCCGAGAGGCTGGTCAAATTGACTTGGTTTCACCAGGGACTCGGATGGCAAAACCTCAGGGGATTCCAGCATGCGGCCGAGCAGGAGAGCCAGGGACTGCCTGTTAGCGTGATGAGATTGAAGGGACCAGGGATAACAGAATGCAAAAGCCTGTCCCCCCCCCCCCCCAGAAGACACCCGTGTACCAGCTCATGGTCCCAGCCGCCTGCCCCAGACTCTGTGCTCATCTGGGAACATGGGGCTCCAGGTAGCCACCAGGGGACACTCGCAGATTTGTCCAGTGTCTTCATGCCAATGGGAGTCATCCGGGGTATGACGCAGCCCCTGCCCTCCGTGCTGGGAGTCCCCGTGGCTCAGGCCCAACAGGAAGGATCTTGGGACCTGCCGGTGTCCTGGTATTCACTGCCACAGACTCCACCCTCCCTCCATTGGCTTGGACTACCTGGTTGGTGAGAGGAGACAGATGTGGGCTGGTGCTCTCCTGTGCAAGTCATTCTGGGGGCACTGGGTAGGTGATGTTTCCCGAATCCCCACAGTGGTTACTTAAAACAAGGTGCTCCCAACGCCCAGACAGGCTGCCGTCCTTACCCAACACCCACCACCAGTGCAGGGCTTGGGCCGGAGCTGCACTTGAGTTCCAGGGCCGATGCCTAACTACTAAGCTATGTCAGGGTCAGAGCCCCTTACAGGTTGATGAGCTCAGAAAGGGCCACTGCTCAAAAATAACTTTATGATGACCGGGGCAGCCAGTGTTGGTTCTGGAATGCCTGAACTCCTTATGTCCATGATCACAGCACAGATTAGCTCACGGGTGAGCCAGCTGGGCCAGCGGGAGGAAGAGTTGGAAATTTCTGGAGCTGGGAGGGGGGAGGACGTGGGGGAGGGACAGCCTGAGGAAGATTGTGTCAATCTACTGCCCCCTGGTGGCTATCCTGTAGAAGTGGCAGTCACTGGCCCCTAAAAGACCCAATACCTTTTCCCCAGATTGAGCACCTGTAGGGCAGAATGCAATGTACTTACTTAGTCCACATAGCAATGCATTTTGCAAAATTTGCAAAACAAATTTTATTTTGCTTAGAAGAGCTACTAGGATTATGTAAGCATCCACTCTGCCTGAAGAATGACGCCTGGAGTCAGGTGTCGTTTCCAGATTATTCCAGGGACTCAGGAATGTGGAATTGTGAGCATGCCTTGCTATGACCTTGGTATTCAAGTGTAGTGTGGATGCAGGAACCCGCTGCTCTGGTATCCCTGGACACCGAACTTTTAACACTTGGGCTAGGCCAGGGCAGAGTGGGTGAGTTGGTTACCCAGGTAACACGGGCATCAGTCTGCTGACTTGCTAGAAATATGGAGGCTCAGGTTTCCCCCTTGGCCTTTGGAGTTGTGGTGTATCCTTCCCATGGTCCCGGGTGGTTCATATGTGTGCAGAAGAGCAAGTGGCCCTGATTTCCAGAGGAAACGTAGGGTCCACAGCACCCCTGAAATGCCTGCCTTCTAGGGGCCTCCATCTATGATGGGCTGCCAGATACCAGAGCGATCCCGCCAACAGAGGCAGGAATGCTGCCTCTATTGCCTTGGTGTGAGGAGCCAAGGTGGTACTCCCGGGGCAGGTGTGGGCAGAAAGTGCCTGCTCCTCCTGGGGGTGAAGACTGGGAGGCTACATGAACATTTCTGCTGCCCCACAGCGGCATGACCAGGGTTGGAGATGGGACAACATGCAACAAAGAAAATAAGAAATGACGCAAGAAAGAGACACAAGATAGACACAAAAGTGGGCAGCCCCCTTCTCTGAGGAAGGAGGGTGACCTAGAAGGCTTGTTGTCTCATCTTTTATTGCCCTGCTTAGGGAATCAAATTACAGGAGTCAATATGCCACAAACATTGACAACTACCTTCCATATTGATGTTAGCCAGCCAGTGCTGGTAATGAATGAGGATCAGAAAGCAACAGTGTGAACCATGAACAGAAGTCAGCGTGTTAATGTCCCAAGGATATCCGGAAGCACACAGTCCTGCGTGGGGGACCCTTGTCTGCAGGCCTTGACCTTGGTCTTGGACTCTTGCCCACTCGCAGACCGTGGCTCTCAGTCTGACCTCGGTCCCAGCACCAGAGTCTGTGAACTCAAGGTTTCAGATACAGTCTGTCCTGCTCCCCATATGAAGTCACACTGTTGGCTTTTACAAAGTGCCTTCAGCAAACACGACTTGCAGACTTCTAGGTGGGTCTCACCGGGGGGTACTGGTGACCCTGAGTGGAAGTCAGTGTCGTTGTCCTCAGGTTCATGTGTCCTGGACAGCTGCCACATGCCAGGCCTGCTTGGAGCCCTCTGTGGGTGTTGATGACGCAGCACCGTGCCAGGCTCTGGGTTCAGCTCCATTTCACGGTCAGCATGCTGAGGGCCAAGGCATGGAGCAAGAGAGCTACCTGGAGGTGGAGCTCAGGGCATGGCGGGGTGGGGGTTACCGCCAGCCAGCCCCCTCCTGTGGGATTAGGGAAGAGGAACACTGGGTGTATGGAGGGAGGAGCGCAGCCGATTCTCCCAGTGTGTCTTCATCCATCTATGTTATTCGGGAAAACCTCTCAGAAAGATGTCAGGCCCAGTGTGGAGGCGGGGGTGAGAGCCCTGGGTCCTGCCATCAAAGAGGCCCTGTTAGACAGACTCTGCCCTGGGAGCAGTCAGGACACACAGCTGGGGGAGACAGAAGCTTAGGGGATGAAGGCCCAGGTCTGGGCACTGAGGGGGTGCTGGGGACCGATATGCCAGTGAGCTGACTTCCTAGAAAGAGGCTTAGGAGCCAGTGTGGAGAGGGGACCCCTCCCCCTCTAGGAGCTCTGGCCTCCTTGGGGTCTAGGACTCTTCAGGCCTGGCCCCGGGCTCTGCTGACTCAATGTGGACCACTGGTACCTTGATTTCCCATTGTTATTTATTTAGAGAGGCAGAGTCTTCTACGGCCATACCATCCTGAACGCACCTGATCTCTAGAGAGGCAGGGTAACACGGAGAAGGACTGAGATCTCCCATTTATTTTTAATTTTTTATATATCTTTTTTTTTTTTTAATTAGAAAGGCAGATACACAGAGAGGAGGAGAGATGGAGAGGAAGATCTTCCATCCAATGGTTCACTCCCCAATTGGCCGCAATGGCTGGGGCTGAGCTGATCTGAAGCCAGGAGCTTCTTCCTGGTCTCCCTCACGGGTACAGGGTTCCTAAGGCTTTGGGCCATCCTTGACTGCTTTCCCAGGCCACAAGCAGGGAGCTGGATGGGAAGTGGAGTAGCCAGGACCCATATGGGATCCTAGTGCACGCAAGACGGAGACTTTAAACACTAGGCTGATGTGCTGGCAGTCCACATCAGGCAGGACTCCACACCCAGGGTCCACGCCCAGTTTCTAAGCACCCAGTGCCTCGCCCCCTGCTTGCAGCTCTCTGCCTTAGAAACCTGCACATTAATGTTCGAGCTGTTCGCTATAGCAGCTTGTCCCGTTGTGGGGAAATGCCTCCCTCTTATCTGGCAACCTCCCAGGCACTGTTCCTATGAGAGTATTGCTTACAAACAGTGGGCCAAGGGCAGGGTGGCCACAGGGCTGGCCTGACATCCATTATGCCATCTTCTTAGGCTAGTGCAGAGCGGGGCAAGCACCCAGTGCCTGCACTGTGCAGTGGCGCAAGTGGTTAAGTCCTTGCCTTGCACGCCCAGGATCCCATATGGGCGCCGGTTCTAATCCCGGCAGCCCCGCTTCCCTTCCAGCTCCCTGCCTGTGGCCTGGGAAAGCAGTCGAGGACGGCCCAAAAAGCTTTGGGACCCTGCACCCGCGTGGGAGACCCGGAAGAGGCTCCTGACTCACTTGGGGAGTGAATCATCGGACGGAAGATCTTCCTCTCTGTCTCTCCTCTCTGTATATCCGCCTTTCCAATAAAAAATAATAAAAATAAATCTTTAAAAAAAAAAAGTTCAACTACTGGGCGGCACGGTACCCCGCTCCACTTCCCATCCAGCTCCTTGCTTGTGGCCTGGGAAAGCAGTCTAGGATGGCCCAAAGCCTTGGGACCCTGCACCTGCGTGGGAGACCTGGCTGGAGGATCTTTCTTGCTAAAACTCTGCCTTTCAAATAAAATAAATCTTTGCAAATAAAGTTGAACTCTTTACAAGCCCAACTCTACAAAAGTAATTCCACATCCACTGTCCTACGTGTCCATCCTTCCATACAACTTCTGCACATCCACTCCCCGCCAACCCGGACAGGCGGGAGACCCACGAAAAGGGCTTCCCTGCAACTTTGCATGAACCATCCATCAAGAACATTGACCCGGGTACTCACAGACACGGACCTGGCTTGTACCCATTAACAGTACATTGGAATCCACAGAGCACATGAACAATCACTTCCACTTGTTGCATTTCTTTTTCTTGACGCAACAATGTTGCAAAGCCTACAACAGCATGTGAGGCCGCTGGGCCAAAGGCTGTGTGGCCCACAGTTTATATTTTTCAGCAGTTTAACCATGAGAGCCTACTTTCCCCAGAGGAGGCGCCAGCCCACGAGGCCTCGGGTGGCGGAAGACACCCCAGGTGCAGGCAGCACCCCTTTTCCTGCAGGTGCGGGTGCCCCCCCCCAACTCTCCCCACGCCCCACTAAGGGAAGGATGAAGGCAGGGGACTGAGGCCTGGGGTCCCTGGGACAGTGATTGCCCCGTTTCGGGTTTGCCTTCTGTGTAGTAGTTAGGCCTTTACTAACCTACTGGTTGCTCCGCCTCTTCCAAACAGCGGCCTCCCCGTGCAGTCCCACCTGCTGGAGAGGATGCAGCTCGGCCGCCGGGCCAGAGAAAGCATCTTCACGACCACTCCTTCCCCTCCTGCTTCTCCTGGCTCCAGCCGCTCCCTTCCTTTGGGCTCGGCTCTCGAGTGCTCCTGTCTGAACGCGAGCAGTCGCCCCACCATCGGCCTATCATCTGCTTCTGCCTGGTCCGCTCTCCCGAGGGCCTCCAGACAATCCCCGTTCGGCCAGCGACTTCGGTTCCCTTAGCCTGCCGCAGCAGCTTCCGGTTCCGGTAAGGGCAGGTTGTGCTCCAGACCTGGGCGCCCAGGATGGCTGGGAGCCGGCTAGAAACGGTGGGCAGCGTCTTCTCACGGTGCGTACGCGGAGCCGGGCTGACCGGGCTGACCGGGGTGATCGGGGATGATGGGGTGACAGGGGGTGTATGGGGTGACGGGGGTGACCGGGGCCGGGGTCCCAGCAGCTCGCCCTCTGCTTGGCTGTCAGGTGGGTCTGTGGAGTGGACGGGAGGGCAGGTGGTGGATCCCGCTGCTGCCCGCCGACCCTGTCCGCGCCCCCAGGACGCGGGACTTGATGCGGGCCGGGGTGTTGAAGAAGAAGCCTCTGTGGTTCGACGTGTACGACGCCTTCCCCCCTCTGAGGGAGCCGGTCTTCCGGAGGCCTCGCCTGCGGTACGGCAAGGCCAGGGCGCCCGTCCAGGACATCCTGTACCACGAGGACCGCGTGCGAGCGTGAGTGGACACTGCCCGGGACGGCGGGAGGGCGGCTGGCCGCGAGGGTGCACCTGCCCGGGAGAGGGCGGTTATGGGACCCGGTGGGCAGTGGACACCGGGAGTCCACGTCCTCGCCCGGGGAGGGCGCTTACAGGACTGGAGTGGGCAGCGGGCACCTGGGAGCCCACGTCCTCGTGGTTATGAGACCCGGTGGGCAGCGGGCGCTTGGGAGCCCACGTCTTCGCCCGGGGAGGGTGGTTACAGGACTGGAGTGGGCAGCGGGTACCTGGGAGCCCACGTCCTCGTGGTTATGGGACCCGGTGGGCAGTGGACACCTGGGAGCCCGCGTCCCCAGACAGCGGACCCTGCTGTGTGACTTTGGGAAGGTTCACGCGATAATGCATAAGGTTTTCAGTTTAGTGTCCCGCGCAAAGGACGCCTCCAGTAAATATATTATTATTGTGATTACTGACAGCATTTGTTGTGTTTGCATTCATCCTGTGCTCTGTGTCTTGACCTGATCAGCAACATGGTGCAAAGAATTCTGTGAAAATAATCTGTCCTAAACACTGTGTTTCTTTAGTCTGGGTTTCTACACTAGACTTGATTAGCTAAAATAGTGCAGACTTAAAAAAAAAAAAACTTTTGAATTTTTAAATTTGTTTTTACTTGAAAGGTATAGTTACAGAAAGAAGAAGATGGAGCGAGAGAAATGGAGATCTCCCATCTACTGGTTCATTCCCCACATGCCAAGTGGCTGATGCGAAGCCAGGAGAGTCTTCCGGGTCTCCCACGCAGGTGCAGGGACCCAAGCAAGCACTTGAGCCATCCTTCGTTGCTTTCCCAGGCCATAACCAGGAAACTGGATGGGAAGTGGAGTATCTGGAACACGAACCAGCACCCATAAGGGATGCCAGTGCCACAGGCTGAAGCTTAGCTTACTGTGCCACAGTGCCACCTTCCCCCTTATAAAAAAGATTTTATATATATATAAAAGATGTGTTTATTTTTATTGAAAGGCAGATAGCGGGAAGGAGAGAGAGACAGAGAGGCCTTCCTTCTGCCTTCTTGTTGAGCACTCAGGAGCCTTAGCCCCCATAGCCTGTGTGCACCCCTGTTTTGGTGTTGAGACCAGTGCTGGGTGGGAATGCACATCTTTTACTCCTGTTGCCATTCCTGGATGCCCCAAACAGAGTTTATGAAGTCATTGAATTTTCCACTGGGGCCTAGACACCTCTCGCTCAAGGACCCCTCCCCAACCCCAGCACCTTTTTAAGGTAGTAGAGCAGGTTTGTTCTTACTTGGAAATTCTCAGGGTGGCCCCTGAGGTCTGGGGGAATTAAATGCTGTTTTAGCACTCTCAGATCCATCACATGTTTGATGAGGGTGTTTGTGTTCATTTATGCAGCAAAAGTATTAAATCATTCCTGCTTCTCTGGGTGGCATTGTGGGATGTGGACTATTTTACTACTTGCTGTTTGTAGTCCAGTATTATTAGTGTTTATACCAAAATGCCTTGGATTTCTGTAATTCATGGAGCCTTTGCCTTGAGGGGTGTTTTGGAGGGGTGTTTTTTGATATTTTTAAGGGCTTACAACAAATTCCAGGTGTATCAGAACAAAAGTGTGCAAGAGAGGTTGTAACTTTTCTGGGCGTTTCAGACTGATAAGCAGGGCCTTGCTGATGCTTTTGGGAAAGCAGAAGCAGGCAAGTTTCATCTGCAGATGCTCTGGCTCCTGACTCGGGCCTGGCCGATTGATTCACCTGCCGTTGTGGCCATTTGGGGAGTAAACAGCAGATGGAAGGTTCTCGGTCTCTCCTCTCTCTGTAACTACCCTGCAAAGAAATCAACAATAACTAATTTTCTTTTTTTTTAAGTTTATTTATTTTTATTACAAAGTCAGGTTTACAGAAAGAAGGAAAGACAGGAAGATATTTTGTCTGCTGATGAACTCCCCAAGTGGTTGCAATGGCTAGAGCTGAGCCAATCCAAAGCAAAGAGCCAGGAGCTTCTTCAGGTCCTCCAGCGGGGTCCCAAGGCTTTGGGCCATCCCGCACTGCTTTCCCAGGCCACAAGCAGTGAGCTGGATGGGAAGTGGAGCAGCTTGGACACAGATCGGCACCTATATGAGATCCCAGTGCTTGCAAGGCGAGGATTTAGTCACTGAGGTATTGTGCTGGATTCCCCCCACTCATTTTTTTTTTTTTTAATTTTTAAACAAAAGCTTGGAAAATGTTTTTTTGGGCAAAGCATTTGGAAATAGACATTCATATATTACTGGTGTAACAGTTATAAAGTCTTTGGAAGACAATTTGGCAAGAGAATACTTAATTACAAACACACATGTCTCAGTCCAGCAGTACCGCGTCTGCGTTTCCTCCACAGTGTGCTACAGAGGAGGTAGAGGAGTGGCCAGGGACTGGAATCGATCTGTATAACCAATTGAGAATGATTTCTAAGAACATTCAGACATTAAAAGGCAAACTGTAGGGAGGGAAAGCGGGGACTACCTGCTCAGTGAACAGAGGGCTTCCTTCCTGGGTGATGAAAGTGGTTTGGAAGTGATACTTAAATAATTCTGAGTGTATTAAGTATCATTGAATTTTCCCTTAAGAATGGTTATTTTGGGGGCCTGGCACAATAGCGTAGTGGCTGAAGTCCTTGCCTTGCTCTGGGATCCCATATGGGTGCCAGTTTGTATCCTGGCAATCCCATTTCCTTTGCAGTAGAGAATGGCCTAAAGCCTTGGGACTTTGCACCTGTGTAGGAGACTCCAGGCTCCTGGCTTCAGATCAGCTCTGTTCTGGTCATTGCGGTCACTTGGGGAGTGAATCATTGGACAGAAGATCTTCCTCTCTGTCGCTCCTCCTCTCTGCATACATGATTTTGCAATAAAAATAAACAAATCTTTAAAAAATAATTAAATAGGAGATCTCAGGCCTGGTGTGATAGCCTAGTAGTTAACCTTGCCTTGAAAGTGCCGGGTTCCCATATGGGCGCCAGCAGTCCCGCTTCCCATCCAGCTCCCTGCTTGTGGCCTGGAAAAGCAGTCAAGGATGGCCCAAAGCTTTGGGACTCTGCACCCACGTGGGAGACCCTGAAGAGGCTCCTGGCTTCGAATTGGCTCAGCTCCAGTGAATCACTGGGGAGTGAATCATCGGATGGAAGATCTTCCTCTCTGTGTCTCTGCCTCTCTATATAGCTGACTTTGCAATCAAAATAAATTTAAAAAAAAAAAAAAAAGAATGGTTATTTTGGGGGTAGGCATTTGTTGCAGTGGTTAAGGCTCCTGTGGGATGCCCACGTCGCATATTGGGGTGCTTGGTGTAAGTCCCAGCTACTCTGATGGAATTAGCCTCTTGCTGAAGTGTACCCTGGAAAGCAGCAGGTGATGCTCCAGTGCTTGGGTTCCTGCCCTCCCTCGGAGGACCTGGGTGGGGTCCGGGGGCCTGGCTCAGCCTGGCGGGGCCCTGGCTGTGGGCCGTTGTGGAGTGAACCAGAGGGTAGGAGCACTCTGTCTGCCTTTCATATAAAATGAGAAGAGATGAAAAAAAAGGTTAACATTACAAAGTGCGCATTTTAACTCCAATTTTTTTTTCTCTAAGATCTATTTATTTTTATTGGAAAAGCAGATCAGAGGACACATTTACCATGAAGATGCATTCCTTATTGGAAAACCAAGGCTGCTGAGCCCGGGCTGTGCGGGTCCTGCTGACCTGCCCCTGGGTGCCAGCAGTCATTGCACATTCCGTTTGCTCTGTTCTTGAGCGCCCCTCGACTGGAGATTTAGGTTGTGGTGTTTGTATTTTCTAGGAAGTTTTATTCAGCCTATGGATCTGGGCCAAAAGCTTTTGATCTGTTAAATCCAAACTTCAAGTCTACCTGTCAGCGGTGAGTGACCGTGCCGGTCCCGGTTCCTTCTGCTCCCCCCACCTTGCCCCTTTCGGTGAAGTGACCAGTTGGGGGAGTTGTGTTGAATTCCACTTGAGGAAACAGATGTTTCTTCCAGAAGAGCCATTAGGGGAGGGCGTGGTGCATGACTTGACAGCCCTGACACAGAGCTAGGATGTGACCGCTTGGGCTTGCAGGTTTGTGGAGAAATACAATGAGCTGCGGGAACTTGGAGAAACAGATGAAGAAAAGTTATTTGTGGAAACAGGGAAGGCTTTGTTGGCAGAAGGTGTCATTTTACGACGAGTAGGAGAAGCAAGAACTGTGAGTATTTTTAAGTATTTATTTACTTGTTAGAGTTACAGAGAGGGAGGGAGAGAGCGAGCTTCACTCAGTGTTCCCGGCGGCCACTTTACCTGCTACACCACAGAACAGGCCCAAGAACTGTGAGTACGACACTGAGAAGTATTGTTGCCACCCTTGGCTTGTGTTTTAAGCTCCTGCTCTGATACTGTTAGATTGAATATCCTGGAGTTTTGTGGTAATGGCTGTTTCTTAGAACAAGCGATTCACCATGAGGAGTTTTGAGACTGGTTCTGTAGGACTTTTTGTCGTGTTTCCCATTGTTGTGGTAGAATCTGGCCTGAGATGTTAGTGCTAAGTTGCTCACTCAGTGACAGAACGTGCCTGGTAGGGTGGTAGAGAGGAAGGAATACCGCAAGGGACTGACTTGTGCCGGCTTTTCTCAGCAGCACGAGGGTGGTCGCGGTTCCAGGAAATCCGAACCAGGGAGTGCCGGACCCCAGGCCTTGGGGGAGGAAGACCAGACACTGAAGGAGGAGCCACAGACCCCGCGGGAGGCCGCATCCAAGGGGCGGGAGGGTGGCCTCCCACCTGCCTGAGGACTGTGTGGCGAAGGGACCTGAGCTGGAAGCACAGCTGGAAACACAGCGGAAACACAGCAGAAACACAACGTCTCTGGCTTGCCGAGCCATCGAGGCATCGTGTTTGCCATCTCTTAGTTGCAGTGTCTGGGCCATCCCAGAGCTCAGCATCCTGGTTTGAAATAGCTTTAATTTTAGGACATTGCAAATAAAAGACTCCTTTTACATATAAAGCAGAATGACTTTGAAATTGTAAATGACGTGAGAGCCTCTGTAAAGATTGTTGGAGCAGGGCTTACTCGGAGCTGGCTTGCTTGGATGTTTGAGCTTGCAAGTGGGCTGGTTACACTGGAATCTCTGCTGTGTGACTGCGCCGTCTGAGTTTGACCTCCACACCTGGTGTAGTCCCTCTGCCAGCTCTTCTCTCTGTAGATTAGCTTTATACTTTTTGCAGCAGAACTGATGCCTTTGAATTTGAGGCCAAGCTGACTTGGCTTGCAGTAAGGGTGAGAAACTAAAACTGATGATGGACCAAGAACAAAGCTGTAACTTGAATCTCACAGATCGGCTGCGTGGGAGACTCAGGCACGCACGCAGCCTGTTGTTCTGTTGGAGGAACGGATGAATGAGTAATTACCCCAGCTGAAGACTGACCGCTGCTGACCTCTGTCGGGAACGGGGTGGCCAGGTGCCTCCTAACTCAGCTGTCACTCTCCACTGGCAGCCTGCCTCCCTGCCCGCTCCCTCACCCGCTGTCCTGCCTTCCTCATTTCCCATTTGACTGAGAAAGACCTCTGAGATCATAGCCTTCATGTCTGTGATCAAGCCAGTGGTTTTCAGCTACTAGTAATGCTGGATTCCTTATTTTCAGTGGTGTGCAGATTTTCTCTCTGGTTCTTCCTTGCCTAGCATTTCCTCTGCCTGCCTGTCCCCCGTGGGCGGGCTCCTCACCTCGCTGCTCACGCCCTGCTGCGTGGGTGCAGGAGCAGAAGAGGCAGAAGCCGCTACCAGCCCAGCTGCTTCCCTGCCGATTCACCTTGGTCCTCAGTGCTCTTCCCCGCTGGCTCACCTTGGTCCTCAGTGCTCTTCGGGGAATTTGTTACTTTTAGATGAGGAAGAAAATGGAATTAATTCAAACACATGAATTGGGCAACTATTAGCTACGGGGTGTGCTGGCAGGCCTTGGGCAGAGGTCGGGCATGGGTGAAGAACTGGGGTCTGCTTTCAAGGGAACAGCGCAGGAGAGGGTGTCCTCTCCAAGCTTAGGTGTTCAGGTTTTTTTTTTTTTCCTTTTTATTCTTTTTTTAAGTAAGATTTATTTATTGGGAAGTCAGATTTACAGAGCGAAGGAAAAGCAGAAAGATCTTCCATCTGCTGGTTCACTCCCCAAGTAGCCACAGTGGTCGGTGCTGAGCCCATCAGAAGCCACAAGCTTCTTCCTGGTCTTGGGCCCTCCTTGACTGCTTTCCCAGGCCACAAGGAGGGAGCTGGATGGGAAGTGGAGCAGCCAAGACATGAACTGGCGCCTGAATGGAATCCTGGGCATGCAAGGCAAGGACCTTAGCTATTAGGCTACTGCACCAGGCCCAGGTTTCCAGGTTTTTAAAGACAGTTTGCCACAGTAATGAAGTTATGTGTTACAGAATTCTTCAAAAAATTATACATGGTTTATGATTTAGAGGTAAAGTCAGTTTCCCGTTCCTGTCCCTGGGTACCCATACATACTCCCTTCTCTGAGATCACACGGTCACCATTTGTGTGTGGCCTTCTAGAAATATTCTGAGTATGCCTGCTGAGCTACTTTGCATGTGATTTTGTTCCTGTTTTTCCAGCTGGTATTTGATCCTTTGAAAGGATGCAGCATGATTTGCTCAGTGCCCGGCTGACGAAAATGTTGTTGCTGGGTCTGCGGGACGCTGGGCCAAGGCATAGCTCGTCTTCAGTTTGGGTCATCTCTGCAGGAGTCCTCCTGCATTAAATGCTTGCCAACTGTGAGTGTCCATTGCCCCCTGCCCCCACACTGGCTTTTCTTTTTTTAGTTTAGAAGAGAGTGTGCGATCCTGGTCTGATGGCTGTCAGAACCTGTAACAGCTGGGGCAGGGCTGAGCTAAGCTGAGCTGAAGGTGGGAGCCAGGACTCCAGGCCTCCCACAGGGACCTCAGAAACCCCGCCACTTGGAGCCATGCCTTTCAGGATGGGCGTTAGCCGGAAGCTCAAGTCAGGAGTTGAGTCCAGGATCAACCCCAGGCCCTCAGGTGGGGGCACAGGTACGCTCCCCTGCATCCGCAGCTTAGGATGGACAGCTGCCTGAGCTTGTTACACCTGACTTGGACTGTCTGGAGGCCCTCAAGTGGGGGCACAGGCATGTTCCCCAGCATCTGCCACCGTCCTCAACCTGTTACGCCTGACCGGCTGTCGAGGCCAGCCTGAGCCTGCTGGGAGTGGGTGAGACTCCCTGGAAGCTGTGTCACTTGCAGACTTGTTTAGATTGGGTCTAAGTGATGCAGACTTAATGAAAGTTAGGATGCTTCTTTGGGAAATTCAGAAGAACCTGCACAATTTGAACAAAAGCCAGCAGGGCCTCCATAGCTCATGAAGAGAATAGAATCCCATTTTTCTAAAGGTTTATTTTATTTTTACCATAAAGTCAGATATACAGAGAGGAGGAGAGACAGAGAGGAAGATTTTCTATTCGATAATTCACTTCCCAAGTGACTGCAACAGCTGATGCTGTGCTGATCCAAAGCCAGGAGCCAGGAACTTCTTCCTGGTCTCCCATATGGGTGCAGGGTCCCAAGGCTTTGGGCCATCCTTGACTGCTTTCCCAGGTCACAGGCAGGGAGCTGGATGGGAAGCAGGGCTGCTGGCATTAGAACCAGTGCCCATATGTGATCCCAGCACATTCAAGGCGAGGACTTTAGCCACTATACTATTGCGCCAGACCCTAGAATCCCATTTTTTTTTTTTTAAGATTTATTTTTATTATTTTTTATTGGAAAGGCAGATATACAGAGAGGAAGATCTTCCGTCCGATGATTCACTCCCTAAGCGCAACGGCTGGTGCTATGCCGATCCGAAGCCAGGAGCCTCTTCCGGGTCTCCCACGTGGGTGTAGGGTCCCAAAGGTTTGGGCCATCCTCAACTGCTTTCCCGGGCCACAGGCAGGGAGCTGGAAGGGAAGCGGGGCTGCTGGGATAGAACCGGCGCCCATATGGGATCCTGGGCGTGCAAGGTGAGGACCTTAACCACTGCGCCACCGCGCCGGGCCCTAGAATCCCATTCTTAAAGAGATTAACATTGGACTCCTGTGATGGCTCAAATGGCTAATCCTCCACTTCTAAGCCTAGGTTTCTCATATGGGTACCAGTTTGTGTCCTGGCTGTTCCACTTCCCATCCAGCTCCCTTCTTATCACTTATGACCTAGGAAAGCAGTAGAGGATGGTTCAAAGCCTTGGGGCCCTTCACTTGTGTGGGAGACTCGAAGGAAACTTAGGCTAAGCTTAGCTCTGGCTGATGTGGACAGGGAGTGAACCTCCGGATGGAGGGGCTTCCTGTCTGTCCTCCTCTGCAAGTCTGCCTTTCCAATGAATATATATATTCCAATAAATACATAAAATGTATTGCTATATATATTCCAACGAATATATATGCATAAAAGAGCTTAACATCAAGTAGAAAGAGTAACTGAAACAGCAAGCTGAAAATGGGACTCCTAAATTACGCCAGGCACATGGGGTAGGGGGCCACGGGGTGGGGTTCATCCCTGGACTAGGCTAGGGGTCCTGCATGAGAGAGCCCAGAAGGCAGGTATGCTGGAAGCATGGGCAGCATCTTGTGCCAGAACATGCTCCCTGTCACCATGGTCTTCAGAAATGGTAGCTGGTGCCCTTTTCAAATGGCATCTGCTTGGAAAGCTTACCTAATGTTGAAACCAAATGTCAGTCCCTGGCTGAACCCAAAGTGGCTGTGATTGCAAGGTACTGCACTGGGGTAGGCATGCCTGCTCTGCGGCTTCACTCCCCGCGTCGCTGTGGCCTTCATTCAGGTGGTGACTCGAGTGCAAGGGAGGGCACAGATTCTTGGTATCCTCTGGCGCATGCGCAGCCTGTCACTAGCAGACTGGGGTTTGCTGATCCTCAGCAGAGCAGGCTGTGTGCACAGGTTCCAGTGAAGATCTGGGTTCTAGATCTGGGATGCCAGTTGTCCTGGTGTGACCTTGTACCTGGTGCAGTTTCCTCACCTGCAGAATGAGGACAGTGTTTGCCTACTGGGTGCCCAGGGAGCCCTGTAGGAATTACCTGGAATAGCGAGTGCCAAGTTCATTTGTGATGTGTGGGCCAGGTGCGTTGGGTACTACTTGGAGTAGGAAGCAGGCTTGGACAGACAGGCTGGAGTGGGGTCATGGAAGCCTTGGCAACAGCGTGGAGGACTTCAGGGAAGGGAAGGAAGGTTTGCCTGGGAGTGAGCGGGGTTGGGGAGTGGGCAGGAGGGAGGGGGGAGCAGCAAAGAGCGGGAAGTGATTCCAGGGTTACACCCCCAAATGGCCCGAAGAGCAGCAGTATCACCAGCTGCAGGCCACGCGGGGAAGGGGAACTGGTGCTGACAGGAGTTGGAGGTGCTGGTGCAGAGATGTGAATGGGTGCCTGGGAGGAAGGGAGAGGAGGCTGGGACAGGGCTAGACATTGCAGCCAGGAACTGAATGGATGCACCAGGGGGCGTGGGGAGACACAAAGGCACGGCAGGCTGGCTGAACTCTCAGTTCAAGAACTGGAGGAATCCGTCCACATCTCCCATCTGGGTGGCAGGGTCCCAAGTACTTGGGCCATCCTCTGCTGCTTTCCCAGGAAGATGAACTGGAAGTGGAGCAGCAGGGCCTTGATGGGGGTGCCAAGGCCACAGGTCAACCTACCACACCAGGACACGGGCCCCAGCCCAGTTACTTCCCTAGCTTGGTCTCCCAACACTTGGTGTGGAGTTCTCTGATCATGAAAAGTTTCCTTCTTGATTCATTTGCCTCTCTGGGATTACCAATTTTGGTTAAAATGATACCTTTCTCTTGAAATAAATGCCAGCTTACCACTGAGACACAGTCAAGAAATTTCTTTTAAAAATAAAGGATTTTTTTGGGCCTGGCGGCGTGGTCTAGTGGCTAAAGTCCTCACCCATATGGGCTCCGGTTATAATCCCAGCAGCTCCACTTCCCATCCAGCTCCCTGCTTGTGGCCTGGGAAAGCAGTTGAGGATGGCCCAAAGCTTTGGGACCCTGCACCCGCGTGGGAGACCTGGAAAGACTCACTTGGGGAGTGAATCATCGGACGGAAGATCTTCCTGCCTGTCTCTCCTCCTCTCTGTATATCTGACTTTCCAATAAATAAATAAATCTTTAAAAAAAATAAATAAAGGATTTTTAAAAACCCATCAAAGTGGGATGTCTGGATCTTCTTTGAGGCTCTTCTCTGGGGGCCTCATGCTTCCAGCTTCGGGCCCTGGGAGGCCTCAGCCA